CCTCAGCTTGAAGTCAGCAGGCCAGGCAGTTGAAAAGGAAAGGTGGATATTAAGTAGGGGAGGGCAAGGACAAATTGCAACCAGAAAGCCTGAACTGGACCTTATACAAGCCTCCAACTTAAATGTGAGGAGAACTGAGTAAGTTGGTGTCCTTCATTGTGGAACTAAACACTCACTTCACTAGGAGTTGGGGAAGCTGAGGAAGGGGGTCTGGCAGGTGCTGCTGCAGCTTGGGCCCAGCTGCAACCACACCCAGTAAGGCGAGCCTGCAGATTTGGTACAAAATGTGTCCACTGTAATAGTATGTGGTGCCATGTACCAGTCTTCAAGCAAAGAAGACTGTCTGCTGCTCGCTTTTACACCTTCTAGTTCTATCACTAAATATCTCTTGTGGGCCTGGATGACCCAGAATTAGGGAGCGAATAGAATACTTGAAAACAATTTAAATTTAGCTAACTCACCATGGGTAGAAGAATAATATAATATATTCTGACAAAAGTAGAAACAGTGCAACTGAAGAAAGATGAGAAGAAAAGAAAGAGAATGGGGAAATAGAAGACTTGATTATTGTATAGGGAATAAGTGGGAGTTCGGTGTTAAGAATGATTAACCAGATAGTGAAAGGTTATGAAAAAATGGGGATTAATATTTTTGTAATATCATAAAAAATATGAATATGAAGGAAAACACAGGAACAAAAATATAAACCTTCCTAAAACCCAAAAGAAACTATCCAAAAAAAAAGGAAAAGGAGCCCACCAAATAGAGAAACACAGTCAAACACAGAAAGTAAAATGTAGGATAATGTGAAAGAATTGAGATCAAATATACCAATACTCTAAATGTGAAATAGGTTAACTCTACTATTGAAAGAAAATACGCATCAATTCCTCATTTATTTTCCATTTTTATTATTTATAGAAGTAGATGTTGAATTTTGTCTATTATATACCTCTAATTTGTTTTTTTCATTATTTCCAATCTCTGCTTTCTTTTGATTTATTTTGTTAGACTTTTTTTTAGTGGAAAGTTTATTCATCTATTTTAATTTTTGTTGATATAAATATTTAAGGTTCTGAAGTAAAACTATAAATTTTCTTCTGTTAGTGCATTAAACATATCCCATAAATTATAACATACAGTATTTTCATTGTCATTATTTTTTAGAAATTCTGTCATTCTTTTTTCACCTTTCAATTTGATAAATAGAGGGTTTTAAAATTTCTAATTGGGAAGGTGTGAGATAATGGAAAATATATTTTTGGATCTCTGCCCAGGGTTCCTGTCACAGAGGTCTTAAAACCCTGTGATTTCCTAAGTGAGGAGAGCACTAGGAACTCTTTTGCTCTAAAATTAGATTCTTGACCCCAGTTCCTTGCAGAGTTCCTAAATTTATTGGTATTTCCTGGGTGATAATAGTGTGTTTTGTTCTGCGGTGACCCCTGGGGGGCTCCTGGATGGGGGCTGGTCACCGGAAAGACCAAGGAATCTTCAGCCTCATACCCCATTCTCCACGGAAGGAAGAGGGGCTGGAAATGGAGTCAGTGATCGATCATGCTTAATGAAGCCTCTGTGAAAGTCCTGAAGGGATGGAGTTCAGAGAACGAAGAGTTGCTGAACACACGGACGTGCTTGAAATGCAGACAGTGGCAGGCTTGTAGAGCCTTGCCCTGTGTCTCTGTCATCTGTATCCTTCTTCAGATCCTTTTATAATAAACCAGTAAATGTGTTTCTCTGAGTTCCTTTAGCTGTTCTAGCAAATAATCAAATCCGAGGGAAGGGTCGTGGGCACTCTGATTTATAGCCACGTCTAACAGAAGTTGTGGGTAACCTGGGGACCTACTACTTGCCCTTGGTATCTGAGGTGGCAGGGAAGTCTCATGGGACTGAGCCCTTAACCTGTGAGGTCTGTGCTAACGCCATTGAGTCAGAATTGAATTGAATGGTGGGATACCACCTGGTGTCACATACAACTGCTTAGTGTTGGGGAGAAATCCCGTGCATCTGGTGTCAGAAGTGTTGTGTGTGTGGTGGTAGTGTGAGAGTAAAGGAGAAACATACAGGAATAGTGTGTGTTTTTCCTAAACAAAAGGCCCTTTTCTTTGTTATTAATATCCAGTTTTATAATATTGTGGTTAGAATCTAATCTTTATAATGCTTTCTTTGTGATCAATATTTATAAGTATTCCATGTAAATTTGAGAACAAGTTATGTTCTTTATTATTAGAGTAGTTTGATATTTATCAGTAAGATCTTCATTGATTGTGTTAATTAGACTTTCTGTGTATTTTCTTTTTGTCTGCTTGATCTGGCTTACACTGAGAGTGCTGTGTTTCTGCTTTATTAAGTTGCTTTTATTACTTATTACATGAGTATTAATAACATTTCTGTGGTGAATGCTTTTCATAGTAAAATGTTTCTTCCTTTGTCATGTTTAATGACAGAGTGCTTGAAACCTACCTTGCCCTCCATCGGGATCACAACCCTTGTGTTGCTTTCCTCTCCCTGGTGCACTGCCCATCCCTTTATTTTTGGCTATTCTGATTCACTTGGGTTTCACTTAAGACTGTTCACATTTATATGTGGTTATTATGCATAATTATTGTGTTATATGTATTAGGTATATTTATTGTCTTTTTATAATATGATGTGCTTTCTTTGCTATTTTATTTTACTATTTTTTTTATAGAAAAGGTTACATTTTTCTTTTAATATTCAAATCTGACCTGTAAGCAGTTACTTTTTTTTTTTTACAGTTTACAAAAAAGAAAACTGATGCACAGAGAGGTGAACTAACTTGCCCAACGTAACTCAGCAAGTAGTAAAGCCAGATTTTTAATGCAGGGAGTCTGACTCCAGAGCCCATGCTATTTTACTGAAGAACTTTATTGTGGCATAATTGACACGCAGTAAACTACACAGCCCTTCAAGTGTACAGGCCTTCCCACTCCTTTTCCCCTAGTCCCCAAGTGACCACTGATCACTGTGTCTTTTCTGTAGCTGCTTTCAAGATGTTTGTAGGTTTTGGGTTTTTTTTTAATCTTTGGTTTTCAATCTGATGATATGTCTTGGCATGGTTTTCTTTTATTTGAGGTGTGTAACCTTCTCAAATTCTGTAAGTTTATATCTTTAACCAAATTTTGAGAGCCTTGGCATTATTCAAGTATTTTTTCTATCTCCATCTCTGTCTTCTCCTGGGATCCCAGTTACACATAAAATAGAACTTTTGAACTGTTCCATCGATAGTCCTGAGTTTCTGTTTTTGTTTTTTGTATTTCCAATCTTATTGCTTCATGTTCTTAAGATTGGGTAATTTCTGTTGAGCTATTTTTAGGTTCATCGACTCTTTTCCCTATCATCTCCTTTTTGCCACTGAGCTCATCCAATGAATTTATTTAAAATATGGTATTTTTCCCTTGTAAAATTTTCATTTAGTACTTTTTTTATAGTCTCTATTTCTCTGTATTTCATATATTTTCATTCATTTCAAGTGTTTTTTTTCTTTACCTCATGGAGTATACTTATCATAGCTCTTTGTCTACTAATTCAGACATTCATTCTGGTGTCATTACCTATCAGTTGCTTTTTTCCTTGATAACATGTCATGTTATCTTGTTCTTTGAGTGTCAGGGAATTTGGGATTGTTTTGTAGACATTGGAATGTTACCATATGCAGACTCTGGGTTCTGTTATAGTCCTTTGGAGAATACTGATGATTTGTTCTAGTAGGTATGCAGCCCTGTTAGTTCTGTCGCATCTTCATCAGCCCTTTCTCTCCTTCCATCAACTCAGTAACTCAGTTCTCAGTTTTCTAAGCCTTTGCTAAACTTTTCTGAGTCTGCTTCACACATGTGCAGTTTAGGAGTTAAGCCAAGACTTGTGAGTGTTCCTTCTCAGCAATGAGGAATCACCTTCTCTGGTTCTCTTCAGGGTTTCCCCCACACTCTCCAGTTTTCTTGGTTCCTGGGCCCAAAAGACAGTGGGGTTTCTATTGGAGTTTTAGCCACCTGTGTTGCTGTAAAACCAGGACCCAATCATCAGTGCAAAACTGTGAAGGGGAAACAATACAAAACTGGTAACTCACTCTCCTGTGGTTTGCTTTCCCAGGTTTTGACCCCCTCTAACAATCTCCTTGCTTTTGTTTGCTTTTCTCAGTCCTCAGGCAGGGGTGTGTGTATGTGTTTTGGTTTGGAGTTAATAGTTGTAAATGGAAGGATGGACTGTCAGGGAATTATACCTCCCAACTGGTATGCTTTTATTTTTCTCTCCATGCTGGTTTGTATAGTTTTTGATGGTACCTTGAGAGAGTCTAGTTTATGTAATAATTGTTCCTTCCCTACCTTGGCAGTCAATACTGAGTTTTTTCTCTGAATCCAGTCTATCACTTACTACTTTTTTTCTGTACTACCTTCTTGACATACTATATTGATGAGGTAAAATAAATATGTTGTTTTTAGGTTTTGGCAGTTCTACCATCTGCAATAAGATTTATTCTAAGAACTACATAATAGGAATTTTAAATAAATCAGACTATATTATGAAAATATCTTGCTTATATTTGTTTTGACAATCTGTAATGTAGATAAGTCAGAGAAATTTTAGAAGATAACGTGACAATAAATGCCACAAAAAGCAGTCATAGGCACTGAATTCCAAAGAGGCTTACAACAGGTGGAAAAAAGTTAACAGAATTACAATATCTTCATAAGAAAAGTATTTTTTTAAGCTTTGTGTAGATAAAAAACAAAATTTTAATCCTGAAATAGCCACATGATTTTGATATGTGTTTTTATGTAGTTACCAAGATTGTCATGAGATTTAAATGTCAGTTTTTTATTCATGTGTTTAATTTCACTGCAGCTGAAGATACTAATTTAGTTCTGCCTTCTTTTTTATCTCTGGATTGTTTATATTTATTAATTACCAAAATCAAATGTATGGATGGTGAAATTCAGACTTTAATATTTCATAATGTTTAACTTATAATTTTTCCCATTTAGATGGTCTTCTGATTGTTGGTGTTCACTCTGCTAAGTTTCCAAATGAAAAAGTCATGGAGAACATTAAGAGTGCTGTTTTCCGCTACAACATCACCCATCCTGTGGTTAATGATGCAGATGCCAGCCTTTGGCAAGAACTAGAAGTTTCCTGCTGGCCAACTCTAGTCATACTTGGACCTCGTGGAAACATGTTGTTTTCTTTGATTGGAGAGGGACACAAAGATAAATTATTTTTATATACTTCAATAGCTTTGAAGTATTACAAAGGCAGAGGACAGATCAGAGATAATAAAATTGGAATAAAACTCTATAAAGATTCTTTGCCACCTTCACCATTACTATTTCCTGGCAAAGTAACAGTAGACCATATTTTTAATAGATTGGTAATAGCAGACACTGGACATCATAGAATTTTGGTCGTTGGGAAGAATGGACAAATTCAATACAGTATTGGAGGTAAAGTTTGCTTTTAATTGTGATACATAATATATTTTACTTTAAAAATACAGTTCAAGGAAATTCAATTGAAATTTATAAATAAAAACTAATTGTAGAAGGGCAATATACATTGACTTTTAAATACATCGTGAAGCTATTTTGTTGATGTATGATGTCTGAATTAATCTCTTCTCACTCCCTCAAAAACAAATGAAATTACCTAAAAAGCTCCATTCAGATCAAAAGGAGGAAATATTTAAGATAATTTTTAAGTATTTTTGTATGTCCTGTCTTTTTTTTTTAAGCTGCTGCTCTTACGGTATAAAAGTATATACATTTTGGAGTTTAGGCAATTTAATTGCTGTATTTCACTTTGCATCAAAATATATTCCTATCTTTTTAAAACCAGTACAATACCCTAGGAGCTTGAGACTTAGATTATAAAATATATATCCCATGATTTGTACATAATTTTTTCTCTCATTGCATAAGAACTTAAGCATACTTCTGGATCCACTCCCTTTGGGTATAGCAAAATATAATTAGCACACAAGCATAGATCATTTTGTTCCACATCTCTCTGGTCTTATATCTAAAATGCGCTGTTGTTTATATCTCCATAATTAATAAAATCTGACACATACATTCTTATTAATCTGGGCTGAACTGATATCTTAACAACATAGTAGTCAAAGAGAAAAGTAATGCATCTTTGCAGCCCTGCTTTAGAAACATGTAATGTAACATCAGTACACAGAGTAGGGATATCTGCATTCCTAATGCGAATAAACTTACACATTCCTAAGCCTTGGAACTATTCTTAGTATGCCAAGATATTATTCCTTTAGCTCTTGAATTTTTTTGTTTCTTGAATTTGTTTGTTGTCTTTGTTAGACTGTGTTTATTTTATGTTACTTGGTTTGGAAACTTGGTATTTTGGTTTATGATAAGCAATGTGCAAATTGTTACTCAAAATGTATGTGTTGTAGCAGGTTGAATTGAAATGGTCAGGAGTTTTTAATAGATTCTGTACTTTTCAAAATACTGTAGGTAAATGTTCTCCTTTGTTAAACAGGAAAACCAGCAGCAAGCTACCTTTCCCAAACATGTTTCTAGGAATACTGTGATCTTGAGATAAATTAATAGTTACTCTACAGTTTTTTAATAAAAGAATTCTATGGTCAGATACACTCAAGAAATACTCGTTGGATGTGGTTTAACAGACTTTTGTTGGTGGGGGTGTGTCTGTACTTCTCGGATCTCTTACCTTATGAATATTCAAGAGGAGATTAGGACACAATATAGCACACAATATTTCCCAATCTGAAGTGACCACAGTACCTCCCTTTTTTTTGCCTCCCAGGGAGCTTTCACCAACAATAATAGTATTATTAATATTAGTAAATATACATATGCCTGGCATTATTCTAAGTACTTTTCCTGGATTAATTTATTTGGTCCTCACAATGCTGTAAATCAGGAAATTATTAGTTCCATTTTACCAAAGAGAAACTGAGACACAAAGAAGTCATCCAGATCATCAGCTACAAAGAGGTGAAGTTGGAATTCAAACGCAGTGCACAAGTCTGCTGAGCTCTTGAGGTCATGTTCCTAGTCCCTACATTATCCTCCTCTCTCCCTCACAGTACAGGACAGGGGAGTTCCGCAGAGCGTAGCTGGGGAGTGCTGACTTAAAGGCTTCGGATGGCTTGTCCTCTGGCCACAGAAATAACAATTACATTTTATTATGCTGTGTATTCTCCATTCTTGAAACTCCTCATGTATTACAAAAGCTGAGAAGCCATTAGAGCAGAACCACTCTTTCACTCTCTTAAAGTGTTTATGAGATATTGTAGCACTTAGTGGCAAAGTGAAATAGTAAATATAAAGGATTTTAATCTGGGAGTACATGGACTACTAAGAAATGCTTGATTAGCCCTCAGGATCTCAGAACCCCTTGAAATTGTTCATGACATTTTGTGACCATATGTATTTTTCTTAGGGAAGGGTTCATAATTTTTATTGTACTATCAAAGGAATGTATCTTCCAAATTTGTTAACAGTCATCTAGATAATAAGATTAATATTATTTTTAGTTCTTTCTAGTCTAGGTAATAAGTAATTAACATGCTTTTAAAAGTATTTTCTTCTGACATATGCTACTATACTTGAGCGCACTATTAACTGTTACCCAATAAGCCCTGTTATTAGCAAAATTTAATTAGAGAAAAATCATTATTTTGGAAGACATTTTAGTTTTTAGGTAGAATATTATATATATATTATGTTATACTGAAATCACAGATTTAAATACAAATTTTATATATTTTTTGGGTTGATTTATATATATTTTGAAATGATTACAATAGGTTTAGCTAGTATCTTCTCATATAGATGCAATAAAAGGAAAAGAAAAAAAACAAGTTTTATTTTTTTGGTTTTACTTTGAGATAACTTTTTAAATGGAAAAATTTTCTCTTATGGCTGTCTTATCTTTTAGGACCCAACCCTGGAAAGAAAGATGGAATATTTTCAGAGTCAACTTTTAATTCACCACAGGGTGTAGCCATAAAGAATAATACCATATATGTGGCAGATACTGAAAATCACCTTATAAGAAAGGTAATTTTTCCATTTTATGTAAATTTTTAATACTTCTAATCAGAAAAACTGTCTACTTGCTACATTAAATATTTGAAGTGAGAGGGTGATGCTTAAATGCATCAAGTCATCCTCATTCAGCTTTTTTCAGAGGTACTTGCTTTAGCTTTAGTCTTACATATCTAATTTTTCTGTGTGTCAGCCTATAGTTGTCACAAAAGACAAACCCATCAATCAAGTCTTCTTTTTATCCTTTGTTTAAAAGTCATGTGCCAATCACTCAAAAGCTCCTCACTTTGAGGAATTTTCCTAACCAATATTTACAAATCGATGCTTTGTACCTTTTCAGTTGAATTTTCTCAAACCTAGAAAAAAACATACCACTCTTGCATCCTTTCAGCTTCTATGATTTGCCTGTAAATACTTATCTGTCAATTAGTCTCAAAATTCTTGCTGTTTCATTACGAAAGTAATATGTGGTATTCTTTTTGAAAAATGAATTAATACATAAAGGTAAAAAAAATCCCATGGTCATCTATTTCAGTTTCTTGGAGGTAACCAGCTATTGTTAAAATTTGTGTCTTTTCAGAAATTTTCTACCCACATACAAATAAATTTATATGTAAAAGACTACAGAGTCTTTTTTTAAACAAATAGAATCATACTGTACATATCTTCTGTGGTCTTGTTTTAACTTAATTTTTCCATATTAATCATGTGAATGATAGGACTGCATAGTATTTCATTATAGGAGTACCTAGTTATTTTAGACATTCCTTGCTGATGAATATGTGGCTATAATCCATTGGTCTTTAAGTTGCTTTCTATTTAGAAAATAACTGAGTTCATCCAACTCATCCTGCCTAAACACAACGTTTCAGATACTTCCTTGCTTTTCTTACTGTTTCTCTATTGATATATGTGCTCATTTATTTGACAATATTATCACCTAATATACATTTAATAGGAAAAAACATATAGAACATCTAGTAATATTCACTATAATGTAAGTCTCCATGAGCGCATGAAATTTGTTTTATTGCTGAAACCCTAAGCACCTTGAACAGAGCCTAGCCCACAGTAGGTAATCAATAAATACTTGTTGAAATCCTCAACAAAATATTAACAAACTAAATTCAAAAATACATCAAAAGGATCATCCATCAAGACCAAGTAGGATTTATTCCAGGGATGCAAGGATGGTACAATATTAGTAAATCAATCAATGTGATACTGCACATTAACAAAAGGAAGGATAAAAGTCATATGATCATATCAATATGTACTTTAGAAAAATATTTAGAAAACCCTAGACTCTACCAAAAAACTATTAGAACTAGATTCAGCAAAGTCCAGGATACAAAATATACAGAAATCTGTTGCATTCCTGTATACAAACAATGAACTAGCAGAAAGAAATCAAGAAAATAGTTCCATTTGCAATTGCATCAAATAGAATAAAATACCTAGGACCAAACATAACCATGGAGGTGAAATACCTGTATTCTGAAAACTAAGACACTGATGAAAAAAACTGAAGACACAAATAAATGGAAATCTACCCCATGCTTATGGATAGGAAGAATTAATATTGTCAAAATGGCAATCCTGCCCAAAGTAATTTACAGGTTCAGAGCAATCCCTATCAAAATACCAATGGCATTTTTCAATGAACTATAGCAGATAATGCTAAAATTCATGTAGAACCACAAAGGACCCCAAATAGCCAAAGCAATCTTGAGCCAAAAGACCCCAAATAGCCAAAGCAAACCTGTCCTTTTTTAATTGTATGTTATTTCTCTGCCTTTAGAATTTAATGGGTTTTGGAGTATGCACTGCATTTCAAATACTTTCTAAGTAGCATAATCACAACAAATTTAGGTTACCTGAAGTTATGTTTGTATTATATCACTTAGTTTAGTGTCTGCAAAAATAAGGAGTGAGGTGGAATTATTATTTCTTGCCTGTCTTTAAAAATATAAAAATATTTATTGTATTTACTTTTGTTTAAGACCCTATTTGTTGAGGATTGATCATATTCGTACATTCACAGCTCACAAATGTCATTGTTCTGTGCATGCCTGTCTCTTGTTTAGAATAATTTATTAATTTATTAATTCCTCTTCATCCCATTTCCATTTCCCTTGGCATTCTCCCTATATAAACACACGTGCAGGCAGCCATTCTGGTATGTTTAATTCATATCCTTTTATTTGTATATGACGTAAAAGATGAAGTGTTTTGTGTGCATGTTTTGTAAACAATTTTATTGTGATATGGTTTACATAGATAAATTTGACCCATTTCAAGTATATAATTCAAGAAGTTTTAGTAAATTTAGTAGTTCATTCCTTTGTGTTGCTGAATAGCATTCATTGTATGGATATACCACTTTTATCTATTTATTCACCAGAAGATGGACATTTAGGGTGTTTCCATTTTGGGCTGTTATGAATAATTTGTGTACAAGTTTTGTGTGTACTACATTTTCATTTCTCTTGGGTAGATATGTGAATATTGGAATCGTTGAATCATGTGTTATACTTGTTTAACATTTTAAGAAAGTACTAAACTATTTTCCATAGTAGCTGCATCATTTACATGCAGTATGGTTCCAGTTTCTCCTTATCTTCACCATTACTTGTTATTTTCCATTTTCCATTTTTTAGATTCTCAGCATCCTACTAGGTGTAAAGTGGCCTCTCATTGTGGTTTTGATATGCATTTCCCTAATGAGTAATGATATTTTTTTTCTTATGCTTATGGACCACTTGTACATCTTCCTCTGAGAAGTGTCTGTTCAGATTTTTTTGCCAATTTTTTATTTGGGTTATTTTTATTTTTTATTATTGAGTTGTAGTAGTTCTTTATATATTCTAGGTAAAAATCCCTTAACAGAATAAGAATTTCACATACTGTACTACATTGTGTGGGTTGTCTGTTCACTTTCTTAATCATGTCTTTTGATGCACAGAACTTTTAAATTTTAATGATTTCCAATTCTTTTTTTTTTCATTGCTTTTGCTTTTCGTGTCATAGGTAAGAATCGATTGCCAAATCCAAGATCAAAAAGATTTACTCCTTTATTTTCTTCTAAACATTTTATAGTGAAGTCTTTGATCCACTTTGAGTTGACTTTTATATTTAGTGTTAGGTAGAAGTCTACCTTCATGCTTTTGCATTTGGATATAGTTACTGTAGAACCATTTATTGAAGAAACTATTCTTTAGTAAGTTTTTAAGTCAGGAAGTATGAGTTCTCTCACTTTCTTCTTTTTCATCATTGTTGTGGCTGTTCGGGGTCCCTTGCAATTCCATATGAATTTTAGGGTCAGCTTACCCATTTGTGCAAAAACTTGAATCATATGAGTAATTATATTGTCTACAAAAAACGAATGATAGTTTTATCTTTTCCCTTCTTATTTTTATACTTCTTGTTTCTTTTTTATTATATTGCCGGCCAGAATCTCAATTGCTTTTAAACATTAGCAGTGATAGTTGTGGGTATGGTCATAATTTAAAGGGAATGCATGTAAATTTTCTCCAAAAGTTTAATATTTTATGTAACTTTGGGAAATGAAGTATTTATGAAATTAAGAAACTTTCTATTCCTAGTTACTAAGAATTATTTTATTATGTAATTTTTAGAATGCATTTTCTAGAAGTATTGAAATAACTATATAAATTTTTGCCTTTAGTGAGTCGATATGATGAATTATATTAATGGTTTGTTTGCTGTTAAACCATCTTTTCATTCCTGGGATAAATCTTACCTAATAGTGAAGTTTTAAAAGTCAAATTGGATTTGGTTATCCTATAGCTGATGTTTTTAAATTTATGTTCATAAATTAAATGGCTTTGTATTTTCTCATACTGTTTTGCCTGATTTTGGAATCAAGGTCACATAAACCTCATCAAATGAGCTAATTGTTATTCTTTTTCTTGGAATAATTTGTCTAAGTAGAAATGATGATGTTTGAACATTCATTAAAACTCCCCTGTAACATTACCTGGACCTGGGGCTTTCTGTAAGATGAATTCTTTGATTATAATTACCAGCTTCTGTGATAATATTTCTTAAATCAAGATCAATAGTTTGAAGCTGCCTATTATGTTTTTGCAGATTTGGCTTAGTAAAAAAATATAGATGAGAGTTACATTGATTAATATTTTTTAGAAATTCAGGGCATTATAGGCAGTCACTAAAAATAATACAAGAGGATATTACTAAAATCAACGTAATTCACTGTAGTAACAAAATAGAAAATAATAACCATATAATTGCTTCATTAGATTTAGAAAAACATTTGAAAACATTTAATACCTATTCATGATAAAATTAGTAAACTTGAAATGGAAATAACATCCTTAATATGATAAAAGGCATCTACTAAGAGCCTACAGCTACACTTAGTGCAAAATATTGAATGATTTCCATCAGAGATTGGAAACAAGGCAAGGATCCCCACTCTCACCATGTCTATTAAACATTGTACTGGAAGAAAATGAAATAAAAGGCATAAAGGCTGAAAAGGAAGAATAACTGTATTTGCCAATGACATGTCATGCATAGAAAATTGTAAGGAATCTGTGAAAAAGGTACTTGAGCTAATAAGTAAATTTAGGAAGGCTGCAGAATAGAAAGTCTGTATAAAAAAGTCAGCTATTTTTTATATACTAGTAACAGTCCATTGTAAATTAGAATTTAAAATTTGTATTTACAGTAGCAATAAGAAACATAAAATACTTAGAATAAATTTTTTAAAATACATGCAAGTCCTGTATATGTCAAACTAGTATATTGCTGAGAAAAACTAACCCAGTATTGGATTGAAGGGCCCAAGATGGCAGTTTATCTTTAAATTGATCTGTAGATTCAAAGCAATCCCAATCAAAACTCCAGTAGGCTTTTTTAGGTAGATACTGATAAGCAGCTTTCAAAATTTACATGGAAATACAAAAACAAGGATTTATTAAATCTAAAACAATCTTGAAAACAAGTTAAAAGACTTAGACTACCTGCTGTCAAGACTTATTTACTATAGCTACTCTAATCAGGATGGTGTGGTACTTTCATAGGTATTATAGGTCAATAAAAAAGAATGAAGTGCCTAGAAATAACCTAATCCCTATATGCAGTCATTTGATTTTCCAAAAAGCATCAAAACAATAAAATTTCAACAAATTGTGCTAGAACAACTAGATGTCCATACAGGGTAAAAAGAAACATGATCCCTACCTCACCATATACAAACATCAATTCAAGATGCACCACTGAGCTAAATGTAAATGCTTAAACCATAAAGATTTTAGAAGAAAACATAGTAAAACATTTAATACCTATTCATGATAAAATTAGTAAACTTGAAATGGAAATAACATCCTTAATATGATAAAAGGCATCTACTAAGAGCCTACAGCTACACTTAGTGCAAAATATTGAATGATTTCCATCAGAGATTGGAAACAAGGCAAGGATCCCCACTCTCACCATGTCTATTAAACATTGTACTGGAAGAAAATGAAATAAAAGGCATAAAGGCTGAAAAGGAAGAATAACTGTATTTGCCAATGACATGTCATGCATAGAAAATTGTAAGGAATCTGTGAAAAAGGTACTTGAGCTAATAAGTAAATTTAGGAAGGCTGCAGAATAGAAAGTCTGTATAAAAAAGTCAGCTATTTTTTATATACTAGTAACAGTCCATTGTAAATTAGAATTTAAAATTTGTATTTACAGTAGCAATAAGAAACATAAAATACTTAGAATAAATTTTTTAAAATACATGCAAGTCCTGTATATGTCAAACTAGTATATTGCTGAGAAAAACTAACCCAGTATTGGATTGAAGGGCCCAAGATGGCAGTTTATCTTTAAATTGATCTGTAGATTCAAAGCAATCCCAATCAAAACTCCAGTAGGCTTTTTTAGGTAGATACTGATAAGCAGCTTTCAAAATTTACATGGAAATACAAAAACAAGGATTTATTAAATCTAAAACAATCTTGAAAACAAGTTAAAAGACTTAGACTACCTGCTGTCAAGACTTATTTACTATAGCTACTCTAATCAGGATGGTGTGGTACTTTCATAGGTATTATAGGTCAATAAAAAAGAATGAAGTGCCTAGAAATAACCTAATCCCTATATGCAGTCATTTGATTTTCCAAAAAGCATCAAAACAATAAAATTTCAACAAATTGTGCTAGAACAACTAGATGTCCATACAGGGTAAAAAGAAACATGATCCCTACCTCACCATATACAAACATCAATTCAAGATGCACCACTGAGCTAAATGTAAATGCTTAAACCATAAAGATTTTAGAAGAAAACATAGAGTATCTTTGTGACTTGTATGTAGGCAAAGTTTTCTCAAAGACAGTACACAGAAACAATCATAAAAGAGAAAAATAAATTTGAATTTATCAAAATTTAAAAACTTCTCATTACAATTTACTCTTAAGAAAATGAAAACAAGCCAGCCACAGGCTGTCAGAAAATTGTTACCAAAATTCACAAAACATATGTATGAAGGGATTATTGCTATGCATGAAAATATAAAGGTTCCTATAGCTAAAAAAGACAACCCAATAAAAAATGGTCAAAAGATGTGAAAAGACATTTTTCAAAAGAATATACAATGACCACAAGCACATAAAAAATTAATCAACATCGTGAGTTAAAAAATATATATACATTAAACCCATAATGTAATATCACTGTACATTTATTATAATGGTTAAAAATAGAAGGACAAAGCCAAGGATATGGAGCAATTGGAACTCAAACGTTGGTGGGACTATAAAATATAATAGACTGCTGTGAAAAACTTGGCATTCTTTTATCAGACTAATTATGTATACCCTTTAACATAGCAGTTATAGTCCTGTTCATACCCTAAAAGAGTGAAAACAGATGTCCACAGAAAGGCTTATTCAAGAATATTGATAGCAACTCTGTTTAAAGTCCCCAAACTGGAAATAGCTCAGGGGTCCATCATTAGGTAAATCTAAATGAACTGTAATACATACCTGGGATGGAATACTGCTCAGCAATAAAAAGGGACAAGCCGTTGTTATACAGTAAATCTCAGAAGCATGTTAAATAAAAAAAGCCTCACACACAAGAGGCCATACTTAGATTCCATTTACCTGAAGTCCTACAATAAATACATCATCTATGATAAAGAAACAATAGCATTTGCTTCCGGAGGCAGGAATGCCTGGAAAGAGGCATAAGGGAACTTTCTGGAGTGAAGGTAACATTCTATATCTTTAGGTAAGTTGGGTGGGGGCTATACAGCTTTATGCATTTTTGATAAATAATACACAAGATTTGTATTATTTGTATGTCATTATTAAGTGTTACCTCAAAAAAAATTCTGATAAAATATGGAATTCCAGTTAATGATAAGCATGCTGAGATATTTAGGAACAGTGTACTGATATTTACAATTTACTTTGAAATGCATCAAAAAGTATAAATGGATTGAGGTATTAATCACTGGATAAGATACATGATAAATCAAGTGAAATATTTTGTTAGTAAGTGGTAAGTATATGGATTTGCGGCAATATTCTTTCAACTTTCCCGTGTGTTTGAAACTTCATGGTAAAATATAGGGGAAGGGTCTCAGGAGATGAACTCAGAGCATCTGTTTTCAATAGAGTGCATGAGTGGTTCAGGTTATGAAGTGGAGGCAGGACCGTGCACAGCTAGAACTGCCTGGTTTCAAATCCCAACTTACTAGCTGTGAGATCTTCAGAAAATTACTTAATGATCTTTGCTTCAGTTTCATCTAAAATCATCAAAATCATAGTCATAGGGTTATTTTGAGGATGAATGGATGGGTGACTTGTGGGTCAGTGTCGAGCACATATAAAACTCTAGTTGTCAGATACCAGCCAAGCATAATTGAAATACATAATTTAACTTGAAGAAACATGCATTTTTTTCTAGATTTTGCTTTAAAATTTCAAATTTCACTTTCTACATATTTTGTAGTTGAGATGGTAGAAGATGATGGGGGCGAGAGTGGGGGTAAGAGGAACGTGGGAAACAAAAAGGACCAAGTTTGTGCATTTTAATATAAGCTCAGCCTATACTTGATTAGCCTCTTTTTTTAAGAGTATTTGTGTTCCAGATTTTTTCTGTGTGCTATTATTGGAAATCTCCGTGTACCAAAAGAAAAAACCAAACTAACATGCATTGAGTAAGACATGCATTAATTTCTATAGATCGACCTGGAAGCCGAGATGGTGAGCACTGTAGCTGGCATTGGAATTCAAGGTGCAGATAAAGAAGGTGGAGCTAAAGGAGAACATCAGCCCATTAGTTCTCCTTGGGATGTAGTTTTTGGAACATCAGGTATGTAAACTTTTAATATTAAATATCTGTGTATTTTTTTAATAAACGCAAGATTTTAAAAATATTTTGGAGACTTTCATTTGGAATAATTATATTGCTAGTTATTTTATTCTTTTGTATCTATGTCTTGGGATCTGATAATTGGGTAAAAACAAAGCCAGCAGTAACACATATAAGATAGAGTATATATTATTACATATTACATTACATATTTCATATACAAGATAGAATATATATTACCTTACTGCTAAAGGATTTTATCTTAGCTGCAGCTTCCAATTAATGTAGTTCTGAATATTCTTAAATTGGAAGGAATATGGTTTCAAAAGTTCAGGAAGACTGTTCATGAACTTACCAATTTAATAACATCCTATTTATTTACTCTAGTTTGAAAAAAAAATTAAGAAATGACTGCTTTTTTTAGGTTATTCAAGTTTGTATTGAAATACAACTTCTTTTAAGTAACTTTACTGAATTATGCAGATGTTGATAATAAGATTTATGTTATCTTTACAGTCAGACTAAAAGATAATCCAGGGCAGTCGTGCACTTCTTTTTCTTGGTCTAATGGTACTGAGATGGTTATTACATGTGTAAAACCAAAGTGATGAATAAATAAAATTACTAGAATACATGGAAAGTGGGATTAGGGACTAAATGATTTGTATAGTCTTAATATATTTGTAAAGTGAATAAGCACCAGTTTAGTTGAATGGCTTTATATTTGAGATAATTCTCCATTATTATACTAATTTGGTTATAATTCAAAGACATCAGTTTTCTTCCACTGCAATTAACTTCCATAAAGCTTTTACTATTTATAAAATAATAATGAACTTCTGGTACTCCCTGCACTTAACTATATATAATTTAGGTATTTTGTGTAAGTTATCTTTAAGAATTCATTTTTTGGAACTCTGTCCTAATAAGCATGAGGTGTTTTAGTGGTTCACACGGGGGAAGGGTTTGGGAAGACAGGGAGCAGTGCATCCCAGGTGCAGTTAATAAGGGGATGTATTATATGTAGAGAATTTAAAAACAGCAGTAAAACCAAATACAACTCAGTCTTCCTTTTTATCACTGTGCACCAGCAATTCTAAATAATTTCAAGGTTAAAAATACTGATCCCTACCCAGACTTAATGCTCCTGCCTCCCTGCCTTTGGTCCACCACTGGGATATTTGAACATAAATCTTCTAGATGGAAAAATAGTCTGAAACATATCTATCAGTAAAATTGTCAATCTGGATAAGAACTGTTACCTTGATATGCTGTTAAAGCCTCTCAAGAAAAAAAACAATTCTGCTCTTAGTATGTAAGCCCTCAGTGATTTAAAGCTAATAGTTCATAACAGCAATTCAGTTATTGATATTTACATTTTGCAACTTACAGCCTGTATTCACTGTACCTATTAGTGATTGCCGCAATAATGGTTCAGAAGGAACCATCCGAAACATACAAACCTAAATCTGTGTTTTCACTCACATATGGCATTGGGGTTCAACTGATCAAACCTAAATCTGTGTTTTCACTCACATATGGCATTGGGGTTCAACTGATCAAACCTAAATCTGTGTTTTCACTCACATAT